TGTCTTTAATCCTACCAGTTTATACTAAATGTTTAAATTCATCCAGACAAATAAATGCATATATTTTAGAATACTGGTGCTGTCAATATGATCTAGTCACTTCTGAAATTTTAATTAATAAATTAATTCATAATTCATTTTACATAACTTTTAAATTAAAATAAAAAAGTGAACTTACTTAAGCAATGTTGCAGAATAGCGGATTTTGGGGTGAAAGTAATTTGCATTGTGGATATTTGAAAAGCAAAGCTTGCATAATTTGTATGTTTAAAGTAGATTTCAGAATATACAGTAGAAAGCTGGCGTACTGTAGGAGTCATTGATTTACAGGCAAAAAGTGCTGGAGTACAGCATTTTCTGTACCAGGGCTTCAGTTGTGTTGTATATGTGTGTGCATTGCCTGCCTCAGTCCACGCTCTGTCCCCTTGCCTTCAGAGAAACAAAGATATATGTCCCTATCTCCAGTATTCCCATTTACTTTTATTTCACGCTCGAGCACCTGCAATGTTAGGGAGAGAGTCCACAAGTCCTAAAGCCCTCGAAAATCTCTCCCCAGGTTCAAGTGAAAGTTGCTCGTCCAGCATGTTTAGTCAGGGGACAGTTGTGTTGATTGATTGCTTTGAGAAATTTCTACCATAGAATCATGATTCTGTCCATAAAAAGTGCTTGGACTTAGATGTTTTGTCAAAAGTTTCTATATAAAGACTATCACATGCAGCCCATTGGGATAAAGATAGACAGACCTGTGGTAACTTTTAGAATTGGATTTGCTCTTCTTATTGTCTTTGGATTAAGGACGAGTGCAGATTGTTCTGGCATCCATGGTCTAAACAAATTAAAAATATCTCTACCTTATAGGGATGCACGATATTGGATTTTTGGCTGATATCTGATATGTCCATATGTTAAAACTTATTTGACTGATGCTGATGTTTTATATACTTTGTCAGAACATAGCCCTCTTATTTAGGCTTATTTGCTACAAAAATTGTGTAACAGCAGGAAGAGCTGGTGACATATATTCAGTAATAGCCTTATGATAAGCATAGCACTTTAACTTATATTAAATGAAAAGTGTTACCTATTATTTATTAGCATTAGTCACCTGCGACGCTGTCTCACCTGTGGAGGCTTGTTCCAGGTTCCTAGCTGCAGTGTGGAATCCTCTGCACTCCTGTGCATGAAGGACAGCCTTTTTAAGTTCAAAGTTTTTGTCTATCCATTGTTCCGTAAGATTAATCATGCTAACGGGGCTAACACGACGTCCAAATATCTGTGGTAAAACTCACCCAAGTGCTATCGGCTATTAGCTTCCTAATGATGTCGGAAATGGCGGCTTGTAACTCGGGTAAGGCTACGTCGAAAACATCTCTCTGACTGGGGACGATGTAGCGAGGCTCATCATAGTCCAAAAATCTTCAGAATCCGACATCTTCACCAACGGAAAAAAACTTCCACACCGCTGACGTTTTGAATTTTCCTGTCCGCCGTGAGATCAGGCAGATGCACGTGACATCACGTTGTGCTGGCACTACAGGCGTCCTTGTCACTGGGTTGTCATACAAAAACAGCACTTTTTATATCTGTGAGTTATTTTGTTGGAATGGTTGATGTCCGATATTGAACTGTAATGCTAATATCGGCTGATACCGATACCATGCCGATAATATCGTGCATCCCTACTACCCTATTAAAGCACAACTCCTTTAAAACAAGGGGGTCAAAATACTTTCTTTTCTACACTAGATATTGTAAGTTATTAGTATCAAGTTCTGCTATTTGGGTTTAGGTAGAAAAATCATTCAGTCTCTGGTTTGTGTGTGCAATTTGCCTGGCTGTTTTAAAAGAGTGGGTTGTTCTTCGAACAGCAGAAACAAGATTGAAGAAGATTCGTTGAAGGAACGCTATGGGTGACGAATTAATCTTTCAATGTGGAGTCTCAGGTACTGAAACAAATCAGCTCTACCTACAGGAAAATAGCAACATTTGTGGAGTATTTGCAGACTTTAGTTTGTTCATCACATACACATACACAACAATACAATGTAAAAATACATTTTGTTATAACATATACAAAGTCATTGCATTGAAATTGCTGTTATGACTATCAATAACCTGCTTGGGTAAAGCTTTTCTTGAAGATCTGTGTTGTGTGATCACCAGGGCCCCAGCCTGTGAGGGGAGTTTGTGTCATTTCTGTCTTTCCCTCAAGCTGCTGGAAGCCAGTAGCTGTTTAGAGTACTGTAAACAAAATGATTAATAGCACATGATTCCTAAATGGGCTCTAAACAAGCCCTGCAGTGGCTGTCTGTACTTTTTACATGTCACCTTCTTGTAATATTTACCCTCCCTCCCTTTCAGCTTCCTATCACACAGGCCTGCCCCAAATTGTAATTGCACCTCATGGGAAGATGGGGGAATCTGCAAGTATTCACAACTCTCTGAAATGCAGGCGTGTTTTCCAAATGCAGTGTCAGTACTAATTTCCTGCAGCATAATGGTCTGAAAACAGTGTAGTGTGCACACATCACAAGACATTTGGCATAAGTAACTTTTCTATCTAAAGGTTTGGTGCACTTCATTTTTTTATGGCTGAATTTGATTGAAATCTGTTTTTTTATTTATTTTGCCTATTTTAGTCTTGTCTAGTAATTTGTAAACACCGTTTTGAACATCAGCTACCCAAAACAATGGTAGTTTGATCATTTCTAAATAAAATAAATGTTCATATGTCTCATTCACAGGTCTTGATAGAATAATTAGACAAATTGAACACAATTATGTGTCCAGCAAAAATACATCGTAAGAAGGAAGTTTTGACTTGATCTTGCTTCTTCTGCAATCACTGCAAGAGAATATGGGATACTATTTGTCAGTGTCTGCTGTTTTTTAAAAAACTTATTCTTCAGTCTTTGAAGGTACCTGGGTCTTTATCTTTAGTAACACCTATGTGGAAGGTTTCTTAATTCCTCTTGGTTTTTGCGCTGTTTTTTTCATCGTTTTTCTTCATATAAACCCGTTGCTGAGC